AGGTCTCAAAAGTGGTTTTCTTTTTGAAAAACGGGACAAGTGTAGTGAGCCCATTACTTTACCACTTGATACCTGCAATTTGTCAGAATTATGTGAAATGGTCAAGCATTTGCCTTCTCTGAATGTAATGGATCTTCAGACATTGCAATTGATGGAAGATGATATGTCTGTTACAGAGCAGGATTTATTTTCACGGGTTGTTGAAAACAACTCGAGATTTACAAAAATGATCACTTTAATGGGACAGAAATACCTACTGCCACCAAAAAGCAGTTTTCTTTTGTCTGACATTTCTTGTATGCAGCCACTTCTGAACTGTAAGTAATTATTATGTTTATTGTTAAATAAAGAGAATTTTTCTATGGCCTCAAAAGTTAAAAGATAGTCTGTATTTTGAATGAGGGTCAACATTTATGAGGATAGGGTAAATACTTTTCCCAGAGTAATTTTTCTTTTAAATTCAATTTTAAAGTGTTGACTTTTGCTTTTTTAAAAAAATTTATATTATTATTACAAATAAAGGGTCAAACAATAGTCTCCAAGATGTTCTCTCTGTACTTAGGGATTTAGGATACAATTGTGTTTAACCAAATGACTTTATTTAACTTTTCTTCATAGTAAAGTAGAATACTTCAGTTATGAATATTGATTCTCAAATCATTCCTAGTCCTTTAGGTTGCATTTTAAGCTAATGTTCAAGTTTATTTTCTAAAATTTATTGAAATGTTTTCCCTCCCATAAAAAGTTAAAAAATTTAAATATTGAAGTTTACAGCCACACAGAGCTGTGTTTGAATTTAGAGTCTGAAGCTTAGTTAACAGAGTCTTTGTGCTATTTGCTTTATACTACTGAGCCTCAGTTTCCTAAACTATAAAATGGATGTGAAAATACCTACTTCTGGGGGTCATTTTGAGGATTAGATGAGATAATCTGAGTCAGGTTATTAGCTCAATGATTTATATATTTTTAATGAATTAAAACTATTATGATATCCTAAAGGATGTGGTCGGTAAGAGGTATATTGATCAAATTGAATTTAATCTTCTATTTTTATTTGGACATTTTATAGCAAAATTTTAG